ATAATAATCGCCCGGCAGCAGCAAACATTACCAAATACTCGCTGCCGTCATGAATGTGTCAAAAAAAAAACCATTTCATTGTATTGCGTTTTGTTTTTTACAATTAACCAAAATTGATAATGATTCATACGGATAATTTCGGATTTTCCGCTAGTCCACGGAATTCTCAGGCAGCACGGGACGCGTTGAACCATCGATCGCGATGGAAACGGATTGAATTCGACACTTCGAGACACGCGAACAGTGCCGTGCGACCGGAAGTGGAAAGCGCGGCGACCGTACGCGAAGGACATGACGCGCGACGGAGTTCAAATCGATTTACCGGCGATCGTCGTTCCGTCTGGAACGATTTCCACGTTTTGTATCTTTCCAGGAAAAAGATGGGGGAAAAAAAGACGAAGAAAAAAAAAGAAAGAACGGAAAACGCTCTGAATCCAGGGCCTACCGCCGCCGTCTCCGAAAGAGAGACGACCCGCTGTCTCGCGAGCTTTGTAAATTGCAAATTGTGTAAGCGTTTACGGAACCGACGTGAATTCGAAGATGTTCCCGCGTGTCCCATTACCGGACTGCGAATGTTCGTGCGATTATAGATTTCTGGGGAGGATGACTAATCGACAGGAACTGGAATCCATCAGGTTCCAAATGACATAGAAACCTTTCTGGGTTTCTTACTGCTAAAGAACTTTCGAAATACTGTTTCTTCGCTGGCCAGGGTTTGGATTAGGTTCCTTTAAATTCGTGTAACTTTAGAATTGTTAACATCTTTTGTACCAATTTTTAAATATTTACAAAATCAAAATTCTTGAATTGAGTAATTGGCCAATGATGTGATCAGCCATTTTGTGAAGTAGTCGGATATCGAGTTTGGCCATAATGTTACCTGCTGGTCTACGGAGCTAGGAATCTAATTATGCATTAGATTATCATTATTAGATGTTGGACTTCGGCCCTACACAAGAAATCTGAAATGAATTCGCAACATTTGCGAGTAATACAAATCGCACAGAAAGAAAAGCTTCACTTTATTTTCAACATTTCGGAATTTCCGGTGGATGGCACAATCATCTATTCAACGTCAGTTTCGATTAAACAACCCAGAGAAATCTATATTTCGCAAACATCCGCGGCCTGCTCATTACCGTCAGTTTTCATTTCGTTCGAACATGTAAACGGAGGAATTAAAGTTATTTATAATTATACGTGTAACGGAAGGTTGTCGTTCGCCGATTGACGAACGTCACGGAATGATATAGCGGCGCAGACCATCGAATCATCCTTTTTGTATGAAATTGAAAGAAAAAAGAAACAGAAGAGAGGAAGGTGAAGAATTGTAAAGCGATATCGGTAACGGTGCACTCGATGTGAAAGGAAATACACGACACAATAATGAGCCATGCACGCGATTTGAGTTTTCCTCTTCCTCCTCGTCGTCATCAACCCCGCCTTTCGATCCTGGCTAGGCACGAAAGCTTACGGTACGCCGCTTCCACGTTTATGGCATTTAAACTTAAACGTTTTAAGATACTTTCCAGGTTCGCAATTGTCGCAATGACCTTTAGTAAAAATATTCTATTTCGATAAGATAAAAACAATCGGGTTTTCTTTACCCTTTTTCATTTTTATTCTATTTATCATCGAAAAGATGCTCTGGCAAAATTTTTCGTTGGATTTCGAAGCGATTGAGGAGTTACGAGAAATCGAAAATGGCGGCCAATTGAGATTGAAACTATCGACGACTGACTTGTCACTATTTCTGTGAGATTGGTCAAAATGACTGCTTTTTGAAAATACTGAAATTTCTAAGTTAATTAAAACACTTAGAAAATGCATTACAAACATTTTGATTCCTTCGATAGTTCTTACGTTAAGTGAACAAGTCATTCACGATCTAACATAATCGCTTCATTGCGTTAAGTATTCCTTGATGAGGCACCGGTGACCCGACCGTGGAAACACGAGGGTTAATATCTCTTTATTAGTAGTCAACGCGTAATGACACGTTTTGCGTGGAATACCGTCCGATAGATCACCGTGTACTCAAGATAATGATTTCCAGTTTCACGTAAGAACTGTTCATTTTCGACTCTGTGTACCGTTAAACGTGCTCAGAAACACGATGAGTGTTAGTATTCTGGATATTGTCGTCATCCACGACAAAACTGATCACTAATAACCAATCGTTGAAACGTGAAATAATATTACGTTCTCAGCAGAATAATAGTGACGGAGCAGTAACAGATGCACGGACATAATTAAAGGAAATCGCGGGTTGTCATCTAACGGCTTTCCGTGGCATCGTTCCGCCATCTTGAACTCGGGGTCATTTGCGTGATATTAGGCGTACCGATGCGTAATCTTGTTGCCAAATTGTCGATTTATTTTTAAAAATACCACAAGTTTGACTTACGATTTATTTTCTTACTTATTAAATTCTCGGATAAACGTTCGTAGTCCAGTTGTTAGAAAAAGTTTCCTGTAAATCGATCTCAAGTGACAGTACGTACTTGAAGAATGTAAACATCAAGTACGAACAATTAGTCATAATTATCGTACAATTGTTTTTTTAATTGTACCTTGAGATTACTCTGCGCGTCGGTGAGGATAATTAGAAAATGAACAAGAACGAAAGGAATACCGCGGAGTTCCAGCCAGGAACGTGTAATCCGTTTTCTCTAATTACCCCGGTGTAATTTTTGGTACAGTTACATTTAATATCAAAGTCTGGCAAAGACCGTAACGCACCGTCTCTCGTTCCCTCGTGCAAGTTTCCTTTTAACGACGAGCATGCGGAACGAATTCGTTCCTGTATGGAACAACGGAAAATCAGGTTTCTGGCGCGGGTTTCGATCAAACGAAATCAACGACCGTGTGAATTCTAACGTTCGAGCGTTTCTTCCTTCTTTCCTTCGTTCGAGGCGACGACGTTCGAAAAGCAAAAGTATCCAAGTTGTCGTCGTCGTTTTTGTCTCGTCACAGATTCCCACTGGACTGGTTTACTGTACCGTTTCCATTCTCCCTTCAGATCACAGAATAATGGTTCACGATATCCACTGAAACGCGTCGTTAAACAAAACGGAACAACTTGAAAAACAAATAGAACGTGCAAGGATTTCATTCGGACGTGTTTGTTCGGTTAACAAAATTCAGGTCTGACACAACGATAGATCATTTATTTCACTTTGTAATTAAAACTTTCATACGTGCTCGATGAATAACGAAAAGTTTCGTAATCACTCAGAATTTTTCGTGTAATAAGTAGACATGATTTATTTCGATTTTTAAGTCATAAATCGTCAAATATATATGCGTTTAGTTAATAGAAGTTATTGGTCTTGTTTTAAATTATGCTGCAATGTTAATTTTACGGAAAAATTTTAACTGTATTTACGTGTCACTCATATTTGGATGACGTGGCAGTCAAAGTGTTAATAAAAAGTGATTGAAAGGGTGAAATTTTTCCGATTCTCATAATCGAGTTTCCACTTTGTGATCCATATCAATATCGGTATCGTTAAAGTAACTGGAATTGATATATGCAATTGTACAAAGCATCAAAACTTCACGAAACTGTAACGCCCATGCATAAGTCTCGAAGTGGGCGACTACCATAAGGATAACGGAGAATTCGAAGCCTATTTTGTTCCGTTAGGGTTCAGCTTGTTTCGCCCAGGGTTGGTTAAAACTAAAACGCTCGATTCGCAATTGAAGTGTATAACGGATGTGCCCGAAACCACGTCTGTATTCGCTGGCCACCGGATAATCAGGTTTCCTACGTGCGTGTAATAAATCGGAGACATCAATGCCGGGCCAAGAAGCTGGCTGGGTCCTTGTTCCGTATTCTTGCCGGTTTCCTCGCGTTCGGAGAAAAACTTTTACAGATTGTCCGATAACACGTTGGAATCTACTCGAGTGATGATCAACGAACGCGAAAACAGTTATTTCGTATGAATATAAAATCCTACGAATATCTGCTTCATTTGTTCCGGTTCCCCACTTGTGGCCCCGTGCGTTCCCATCTTTGTGATCCAGCGATTGAGTTCCCTGAAGCGAACCTCTACCTAATGGTACATATACCATATATTATTTCTTCGATCATGCACGTTAAACTGAAGCTAAGAACGTAATGTTCATGATATTATCGAGTTCTTCTACTTGTTATGTCACGGAATTCTGGCTTCTCAAAGCAGCGACTAGACCGTGACCGTTTATAGAAATTAAAAAGTGATTCAATTTTCCTGTTGAAAGTACTGTTAAGATTAGAACGGAGTGAAAACGTTACGGAAGGTTTGTAATTTATCGTGTTCCACGGAATTGGACTGAATATTAATGCACGAAATTTGGAGCGTAGACGTGACTGGTCAAACTTCGAGAACTGTCGTCGTCAAGACCTGACGTCGTCCGTCGCCTACGGAAACAAAAATTTGACCGTTCCGCGGAACGTATGTATGCCGAGTTTCTGAATGGATGTCTTCCACATATGAGCCGGGAGAATTCCTCGATGACTTGGTGGGGAATAGACCGACCAAGGATGTTACGCCGCGCAGTTCATCCCCGCTAGTACGATCGCGAATACGCTCGCCGCGGAGTGTTCTGCACGTGAACGCGTGACACGAAATTTTTCATCGAATAACAATCTGTTGGCACTCGAATCACTGTGATATCCAAGTAATCTGCCTTAAGAAATCAAGAAGTTTCACTTGAAAAACCAATAACGTCATTTAATGATCAGAATTTTGTGATACACAGGGATGAATCGACGCGTGGATCGTTGATCCTCGAGAACAATCAAAAAAGTTTCTTCTCCCACAAAAATATGGAAGTATTTTCCAGAAAACGAACTGTTCCTCGACGTGAAAAAATGTTCATTCAGCTTTTTGCTTTGCCCTCTCAAACTCGTGGAACGAAGGTTTAGAGAGATCGCGAACGGTCATTGTGTTGTTGGAGATCTTTCCCTTTGACGTAAATTCGCAGATGTGAAAGTGATATTTGGTGTACGCAAGATGATCAAGGCACGAAGAATGGCATTGATTTGTCTGGCTTTGTTAACGTTCGATCCTGTCGACTCGAGGATGCAAGGAAACGGCGAATCCAGCGGCGAGTACCTCCAGAAAGCGATGCACCAGCTTCAGGAGTTCAACGTTCCGCTCTCTGATAACGTTCAGGATCGGTTGTCCTGGAGCGACGGTTACAACAATATGCTTAAGGAGAAACAGAATTATCCGGTGCAGAGGATCAACATGATCCAGCGGCAGAAATATCGAAATCAAAGTAACAACGATCCAGTCATCGAGAAATCGGACGTGCATCGCTATGACGCTGAAAGTCTTCCGTATTATTATCAGGTGAACGGAAATAATCTTTGTAAAGCGTACACTCACTTCAGTTCACTGGCTTTCCTGTCAATTTATAAATGGGGAAATATTTTTTTAAGAAAGGGATCAGTGACTGCAATAGAGGAAAATTTCCGAATTTGGACCATCCCAGTCAGCCAAACCTGCAAAGCCAATTTTTGTCCAATGTCTGTTATAAAGTTATGGCTACAACATTGCCTTCCCCAAACTTGTTCTACTTAATCTTTTTTAACGAACATAAAACCAGTCGATTACTTATACACATGGTTCATCGTCTTTTCAGCCTTACGTTTCCCCCGTTAGCAAAATACAGGAACCGGAAGCGCTTGGATTCACGCGTACTCAACTCGCGTCGATGTACAAAGACGCGTTGGAAAAGGGATCGTCGGTCAGTCTGTCGAGTTTGACGAAAGCACTGACGACTGGCGGATTCCCTCAGGTGACGCAGACTCACGTGGAGTACCCGGTGAAACCGGCTCACTATCAATACTACTTCTTCCCGTTGAAGACCTTCATGTCGGAACTGAGGAACGATCACGGTTACAAAACAATTGTAAGTACGCAACCGACGGTATTTCTTTGACTGACCTTTACCACAGAGGAGATATAAGAATAAACAAATTGCAACGAATTTTTAAACACGTCGGCTACCGTGGACTGACGCCACTGACTTCCGGTTCTGGAGACTTCCTGTACTTGATAACGAACGTTCAGTAATTGCCACTACTGACTCGTTCCTGCAGTGAACGTGGCATGTTCTACACACGAATGTGGTGAATTTAAGTTTGACAGAAAAGAAGATGTCTTGCTTTTTGTTTGCAGCCTGTCGTTGCGTTCGAGAACACGGCAGCCGCGGTTTCTGCTCCAACGTCACTGACGTCGCACCCTCTCTTCGTGGCCATAAGCACCGTCATGACTATGGCGATTGTGTTCATGATGAGCGTCTTTGTTTTACCGAGGTTTCCTCTGCTGAACACGTTGCTACAGTCCCGTGAGATTCAAGACGATTTTCTTCAATTGTCGGACGTCGTTGTGAACGCCATTAACCGGTATAATCTTCTGGAGAATTTCAAAGGGCAACGCGTGGTTTCCATGAGGTAGCTCGTAACGCGTTTAAATTAGATAATTTGTTTTTTTTCTTCAGATAATTCCTTAAACTTAATAAGAATTCAACGTGTTTGTTAATAATTAATTACTTTGTACGCGAGAATTCTTTCTTCTTAGACAAAGGTTTGTTTCATCTAATAAGGGATATATTAAATTAAAATTAAACCATCATTTTTTTAATCTTTCGCTAAAGTTCTTATAGTAGTATAGTAGGCTCGTTTATATTTTCTATAAATCCGTGAAATCGACAATCAATTAATGATGCTTGTAATTAAATTAATTTTTTAGATACTTATATAGTTGAATAAGAAGAAATAGGGCTGTCAATACTTAATTAAGTTGTTTATAATTATGACACTTAAACTAATGTTTGTTGGATAAAAAGCTAAAGTCATAAGTGTTTATGATATATACATATAAATAAATAAATAAATATATATATATATATATATTTATTTATTTAATTGTAACATCAGTCATTGTTTAGTGAAATTTTAACAAGAAAACAACATTCAGTTAAACAAAACAACTTTTATTCAATAACATCGTTATATACTACACTTTATTCTTAAAAAATGTAATTTTTTACGATTTTCTCTCTTTTTGTACATAAATATCAATAAAATCGTATGAAAGCTAATAACTAGAGATATGCTCAAGATAATACAACATTAAACAGTACTATGAACACCTATAAATATTGTGCATCTCTGTAACTCTATTAAAATAGCGAAAATAGGGATAAGTTATATATATATATATGTATTCATTCTATTTGGGGAATGTATATGCATCTCTGACTCATTCAAGAATTATTTAAATTTGTAATAAAGAAGTTAGGTACTTTTAAAACTCTGTTGTACGTACATTTATACTTTGTAAAAGTATAACTACGTTCAGTATATAATCTGTACAGTATGAATAATATAAAGAAAGGCACACTTTGGAGTAATACCTGTAAGCTCTTCATTCGTTTCACACGCTATTTGATTTTCATTTAATCAGTCTGGCCGATTGGCAGTGGAAGAAGGTGCCTGTTCGGCTGCTTTTCGTTTCAACACTTGACGTTGATGCTCATATTCAAAATCTTCTTCAGTCAAGTTTAATTTTCGGATCTATAACATTGCATTTATCCAATAAATATTGTTATTACTGTTAAAGCTTTCGAACTTTGTAAGTTGTATACTTTTGGAAAAATTATCAGTACCGATATATCATTCGACCCTTAATGAAACTGGGTGTATGAAATTGGTTCCTCTAAAATGACACGGCTTACACCCGAAAGCTTTAACAATTGTAAGGATAACTGTATGACGCCGGGTCGAAAAAGTTTCAGCAACAGAAATTATTGTGAAGCAGTTTACCTCGTGAAGTACAAGAATTAAATATTCTACCTGATACACCAATGCTTCTTCTTCCATAATGTGCTGAGGAGGATTCCTTAATACTTGCAGTGTTTCGTAGACTGTTGGACAACGCTTCACTAGAGATGCACGACCCAAGCTGCCTTTTAACAATACTAGTCCTACTTTAAATATGATTTTAACCCCTTCGCAAAGAAACATATCCCATACTCGTAGAATACTTTCCCATGGCAGTGTCCGCGTATAAACACACAAGAACCATTCCGTCATGTATAAAATTGGTTCCATCTTCTGTTTTTTCTACGAAAATGAATGAAAACAATGTTTATATGCAAAATTTGGTGCCTTTTATCCGTCATTTTTTTATATAAAATATCACAAATCTTTCTTAAACATATATAACCATAGGGACAATATTACAAATTAAAATGTTTTCTGGTTACTCCTTTGAACGAAATAAATTTCCTCTTAGAAACTTCTTTATGATGTTAAAGGTAAAAGTGTATAAAATAAAATAAATATATGCTAACCAGATGTTTATAAGCGATTGGAGATACTCTCTTTAGAAGAGCAAAGAGAATATCACCGTCACGAAGTAATGTTTCCATCCCTTGACTATAATACCCAATGAGGTATTTGTCGCATATTGCAACCAGGCACCAAAATGCTTGTACTGCTGGCATATGCATCAGCAAAAATGCAGCGATAGGTGCTTGAGCTTGACAGTAACCGACTTTGCTATTTAAAATGGAATATGCTTTCAATACTTTGAATAATTCTTCCTGTCCGGGAGCCTCGCCGATAAACATTATATGGTGAGGAAATTGTCTATGAAGATCCTTTTTAATGTCATCTATGTATTTTGGGTCACCGGATCGTTCTACCAGTTCTTCAAATAAATTTGGATTTGTATCCATCAAGAGCTGACCCCCACAGAGATTTAACCAAGCACGAAGCCTCACTGATGGTGGTATACCCTTTCTACACCTTTCCCTGACTTTGCGATAATTCGCGTTCATGAAATAGCTCCAGTTGTTTAACATCTGTATCCATTTCCGTTCTCTTCTTAACATTACCTCGGGCGGTATTCCTTGTTTTCCGAGACTGAAATTTTATTCAAACATATACAGGGTGTTCCACATGGGAGTCGCCACGAAATTTCAGTACTTTCCTTGTATTTTACAAAAAATTGTGTTAGACAGAAGTTAAACTATATTTAACTGTGTGTAAGTTTTGTAAATTAGAGTTTCTTTATCTGAATTTTTTTCAATGATGTGGATGTTACCTTTCGTTTTCCAAATTAAACTATAGCGTTCTTTAAATATTTTTTATTCAAATGAGTCATGACAGATCGAACAACTGCACATATGTTACAAAAAAAATCACAAATGTATACATTGTCTCTGAAGCAAATGCCTTGATATATCGCGACATTGCACAACTCTTGTTGACGTTTTATATGTTGTGTTTTCTTAAACTCTGATTTACATCCAAATTTTTTGTTTTGCAATTCTGTTTTACCTCAAAATTTTGTGGCAACAATTTCATGGAACACACTGTATGTTTTATTATTATATATTTATTAATGTTCTATTATAACATAATCCATGAGTATTTTACAGTTGTTCTCATTACTGATAATAAAGAAGCCTTATCTTAGAGTTACAATTATATGATGTAAAATATATTCATGTTACTAAAATAATTCATAATTTGTAAGCCACAGATGAAATATTAAGATTACACTATATGGTTCTTAATGTTACCTATCTGTGCTACAGTTGGAATCGTGAAGAAAACCATGTCGATCGATCTTTGACCCTTCAAACTTATCACTTTCCGTCTCAGCATCCCCATTATGCGATCCTGAGGAGGCCATAGCATTTTTTCAATCGTCTAATATGAAAAAAGAAACAAAAGTAATCTTCATAACTTACACAGTTCGCAAAATACGTATTATCGATAATAAATAAATAAATAAATGTCCAACAATCATAAGTATTCCTCAACTAATACACCCCCAAAGAAAATAGTATTCGTTACACTATTCTTCAGCTAATGTATTATTAACCCAATCAATACAATTTCATTCTCGTGTCATCATGACTGAAGAAACGCCCCGCGTAAAAACTAACAAGCCAACGACTTCGAAACTGGTGAATACGTGTCATCGAAATTTCTAATATTCGACGATAAACATCACAGAACCAATGTTTTGCTGCTGCACAATCTGAACAATTTCATGCATAAAACAAACAATAGCGACCGTAGCTTAATGGTAGCTGTTTTTCTCACTTACAACATGAACATGTAACAAACGGGGGAGTATTTCTACACAATTTCTAATTGACAGTTGACAGTTAACCGTCAATGAGATCCGGAAAATAACACAATCATAATCGCAAATTATCAATGCCTGATAGGATCATGTGATAAAGCACAGTTACGGAACGCCCAAAAAAAATCGTGTAACGAATTACAATCATTTGTACAATAGAGCTTGCTTGACTTGATAACTAACATCGACTCAGCTCAGTGTACATATTCGTGCAATTATTTACTTTCACATGATCACGTTAACAACGAGTGGGCGTACCATGGGAATCGACTACACCTACCATTGATGATATGCACAACTTTTGTTTACGAAACTACAAGGTGGAGAACAGTGGTCAAACATCGCCTACAACAATATTTCACTTCTGTCATATGGGATAACTGTGCTCCGAGCAGATGTTGAAATTCATTGCTATGTTATAACCAGTTATAACGGAGGTTTTTTATTTCCAAATATAGCTCTCTGTCACTCCGTTTACTAATTGGACAGTTCCGTTCGATCATTATGGTTATCCAATGGGAAAAAAGAGCTAAAGGTAAGGACCACAGACGAGATATAAAATAGACTAACATCTTATGGGACTTCATGTACAGACGAGAAATAAGAATAGACCTAACATGCAATGTAATTTTCTGTCCCATGCTTCGAAGGCGTCAGAAGCCCCCTTACTATTTTAGTGTCAATACCCGCCGTTACCGATAAAGCATGAAATCTGAGTATTATTAGCACAAATGAAGTGTTATATATTCAGTTCATATTACGTGTATCTATACGATCTGACGGGAATAAAAATATCCGATGCTTCAGTTTAAGATTAAGGGATAAATATAACAGTCATGAAACATGAAACTGAAAAGTATATATTTTTTCACATAACTATAAGACAATTTATTCTAAATGCATCGTTAATGGACATTTTATTAATGTTACTTTTTACATGTTCTTGTTTTATTCGTTTTTATATGTTGCCTTACATTTGTATATTTGTAACAGATAAGTTCAGAATATATATAGTTTCATAAATAGTCTATCAAATCTACCTTTTGGCCGGCGGCTTACAATTTCCCTTGCGAGAATGCCTTACCGTAGTGAGCTATCTCGTAGCCGCGGGATTCCGGGAATCGGGTGACGTCACGGCGTGCGAGCGAGAGAGTACCGTAGAGCGTGCCGCAGTAACGGTGCTCTCCGTCGGTCCAACGCGCTAGTGACGTTGCGTCACACAAGTGTTTTGGGTCGTTCAAGGAGGAAGGTCGTTCAAGCCGGCAAAAACAATTCAACACGAACAAACCTGCGTACGCCCAATACATAACGGCGTTAGCTTCCTCACTTTCTCGTGAGCCGTCGCGGAGGGTGGGCGCGTGTCTCAACTCGTCCTTTCTCTTGTTACTAACCTATTGTTTGTTGCAGGCATTCGACAACCATCAATTTATTTACTGTGCATATTGTTGTGTCCCCTCTCTTGTTACTAATCCCTT